CTAGAACAATTCAATCAAAGTGTTGCAGGACTTTTCAAACAACCTAATATTTAGAGCTATAACTCTAGTGCACACGTTTATATCGACCTAGTCAAAGGGTCAGCGTCATGTAACGCCTGTTGATACTGGAGCCAGCTCCAAAAACGAATGTCTTACTCGTGATCAGGGCCTAAAGCTATCACTATTGACGGTGTTTTAGCTGGAAAACAAAAAGAAAACTAGAAAAACACAAGGCAACAACTCAACAGGTAGCTAAAATTCATGAGTTACGGGATATTCACATTATCCTATAGGCTTTTTTACTTGACAACGTGTACTTCTAGTAGGAGCCTTGCAGCGAGAGGCTAGAGCGGAGAAAAATAGAGAACTGCGACCGTGAAGGCATCAAAAGTCGCAAAAGCATGTCGCGTGAAGCCGATGAGCTTTATCAGGGAAAGGGGGGTGGCCGTGATGAATGGGCCACTTATTACGCGTGAAAAGTTGGAATAGCTGAGGCCCCAGCTGTCAGGGAATGTATCATACTGTCATCAGTTGTTGAGGCCTCACATGTCTGGCCGCACATTCTGACTGGTCGATTGGCTGTGACAACGAATAAGGAGTAACCTGTGAATACGGCATGATAGGCATTAGTGGCAAGCCGCCTCTACATTTCAGTTGAAATTGTGATGATGTCAGTGTGCGCCACCAGTTGGCAAAACGGCTATACGACATCATTACATCCACTCGAGAGAGTGTCAGGATCCTTACATGAGATTCTTCACCAGGTTCCGAACAGGTAACGACAGCTGATTAACTTCACAAAATTGCTTCTTTTATCAAAAATGATTAGGAAACTGACATTGTTCCTGGTACGGGATGGTTCCTGGCAATCCCCACCAGGGGAACGTCAGAAGATGGAAGACCACCAGCCCGATCATACCGAGACAAGCACTTATACGATGATTAATCCTGAAACAAACCGGTTACGAAAAGTATTACACTGAAATTGCTGATGGTACTGATATGAAATCTGATACGTCCACTGAAATATAGAGCTGAATGTGTTTAAAGGCACATTTCACGCTGGTGGTGGGCCAGCTCGTGGTTGAGGACTCCTCGCAGATGAGCCCACCACTTTGTTAGGCGGTGAAGAAAAGTCAAGGAGCGCATCACAATGGTAAGTCAGGTTGCGCCTATTAGACCAGCGTGGCATGTGTCTTTTGATAGGATAAAAATTTGTACACAGAAAAAAAACACTTTTCAGAAAGCGCGCTCTAATAGTAAGTGCGTGCATTGTCAATGCACGCCACGTTCAACTTGATATTTTTATTCTTTGTAAAGGTACGATCTGCGGAGCCAGATGTGCCTTCCTTTTTTTGTCGCATTCCACCTTGGAAAGCGTGAAGGAGCTGAGCAGTGAGGACAACGCACTGATGGGCCTGACCCCGCCCATACTATCAACGTGGAACCTTGCCTTCAAGCTAGAGATGGTACCTCTGACCTCATCTTGGATTATTTCGCTCTTCCTATTGTTAGAGGCTTAAAGCGCGATAATTAGGCTGAGAAATAGTAGAAGGGCTATATAAATGGCGAAAAAGAGGAGTTAAACGGCCAAAGAACTGCGAAAATCATTTGTTCTGCACCGCATTGAACGAGCATCTTTGGACGAGCTCTCCGGGCATGGTGCCAACAAGCGCTTTGAATGGTGCGGCTGCACGTATGCATTCATGTACCCATGTAACCACGCTCTATATCAATTGCACATCGTAACTAAAGCGATGACAGTACCAGCAATACGATGTGACTGTGCGGCCATTTGTGGGCGGGCGGTTGCGGTGGGCGTGTGGGTCGGCATGTTGCACCTTACTTAGGCGCTGTAAGGGCGCTCTCGAATTGCAAGCGCGCCACCCAGCGCCTGTTAAAGGAGTGCTGCGCGTATCTACCCTGCACGCCTTGCCGATTTATCGTGCCACTTGCCTCGGTAAGTTTTAATTGCTTTCGTGTTACTCTGAGCCTTATAGTGAATGAACAACCAGAGTACGTTAAATGAGTAACTAAACGAAAAATAGAATCTCCTCTGGTGGAGGTAACTAATCTGTTACTTACATTTTACCAATATCGTAGTATACACTGGCAGCGTAAATCGCAAACCCGACAAGTCCGAAACCGCTATGCATCAAAGAATTGTACTGAACAGTTTGCTGCTTATTCCAACCGAATATGGTCATCGAGATAGGAGCTCCTAGCCTTAAAAGGAAACTACATTAGCAGGCTTGCCGTTCCTAGACCTTGGAGGGGCATTCAAAGGGCTCTCAGTGCAAAACTGGCAGTGACGACATCCGTATAGAACTACCAAATATGATACTGGTCCATTTGTCTCAGACCTTCCTTCTACATTTGGACTTGAGAGAAGTCCTTATGTGTAGACCCTATATGGCAGTTCTACGTAGTGCAGTACCTGGAGTCGTTTGAATGCCCCTTCCGAGACCACCTTGTTCACACAAAACGTACGTTTCGAGATTCGTGATGACGAACATTTGCGCAAATCGGGTTAGAATGCAAATCATAATCGCCCATCGATCGTATTTAGGAAGAGCAAAGAATCGTGAATGGTCGTCTGAAAACGGTCTCACATTCCGTGCAAAATCCGTTTATTGATTGGAAATCCTACCGTTCTCCATAGATACTTTCTTTTGCAGGCCAACGTTGGATTCGCGGAAAAAGAATATGACTAGTATGAAGCACATGGAATTAACAACTATGCCCATAAATGCCGGCGCTAAAAATAAACCAATAAGGAATTTCTGTCGAATGTAACTAGAAGTGAAGAAGGTTAATCCAGATGAACTCAAGTGAGAATCATTTTATTTTCATCTTCTGGACTTTCATTTTCGAAATTAACGAATGTGCTCATTCGGAAGAAAGTTTGTGAGATCCGAATGCCACAACAAAAGGAAAAAGTGACGCGAGTCCGCTAGTGGGAGAGGGCATTAAACAGGCTCCTAGTGAAAGACTGGGATTGCCGTGGCGGCTACAAATGCTTCGCCTTAACTGTGTGGGTGAACCGATTTCTTCGACCCGAAAAGAGGCTCAACCTTACACTGACCCCAGTTTTGCAAGAGGAGTCTTTCGAGTGCCTCCGCGTGGACTTGTCCTGAAAAATTCTATGGCAGACCTGTGTACATGTCCAGGTAAAGAGCTCCTGCAAGTTTGATTCCAGGATAACCAATCGGAGAAAATATTATTTGAATAGCTGAAAAGTAAATATTATCTGCTTGCTATTGATCCTATAAGCTTTAATAAATTCAATAGGGCCAATTTTTGAATAAAAATTGAGACTTTTCGTAATTATTTTCTCCATTCCAGCGCCGCATTTCACGAGTTTGGGTGGACAAACCCTGTGAGTGAGTACTTTGGTACTATTTGAATGACAACATAGCCGGGAACAGGCATGCAGCTTTACTGGGATGAACGTACTGTCTCGCTAGGAGAGCGCGGACGAGCAGCTCTAGTCCGCGCCCACAGCTACGACGTTTTTTCCCAATGAATAAGATTTTACACAAAATTTAATGTTAAACG